CTCCTGGCCCCTACATCGCCCGAAATAGACAAAACGTACCTTATGTTTCCTAATAATAACATTTTTATCAGGATTTTTTTTTTTTATACTGTTCAGCAGTATCGAATCAGTATCAGTATCAGCAGTAAGGAATCGAAATCCGAGGAGTTTTTGGATTTTGGACACTTTTTTTTGGGGGGTATGTCCCCTACAGCGTCGAAAACGCCTTTCTGGATCCGCCTATGACATCATCTCGACTGGGATCTTGCCCCCCCACGCCAAAATCGAATCCGCCGCCACTGGTCGCTGTTGCCACTATGCTCCAAGGTCCTGGAAAGGCTCGTCTATGACTCGCTGCTGTCTCACTGTCTGCCTGGTCTTCCTGACAGTCAGCACGGCTTCCTGAGGAGACGCTCTTGCGCCAGCAACTTAGCCTGCTTTCTTTCCCACGCATGGGATTCTATTGCCTCTGGCTCGCAGACGGACACAGTTTACACCGATTTTAGCTCTGCTTTTACTTCAGTTAACCATCAGCTGCTTTTGCACAAACTGAGAACATCGTTTAGTGTTTCTGACAAAGCGTATGCCTGGCTCGCATCTTATCTGTCCAATAGGCGCCAGCGCGTAGTGCTGAACGGCGTGACCTCTGACTGGACTTCTGTCAAGTCTGGGGTGCCAGAAGGCAGCATCTGTGGACCTTTGTTTTTTATCTGCTACACTGCTGACATTCCATCTATCAACACAAACTGTATCATGTACGCGGATGATTTGAAACTTTTCAATCGTGTAACCTCTAACGACGACGCCGCCGTCCTGTAGGCCGACCTTGGTCGGCTGGTGCGATGGTCTGAGGCATGGCAGCTAAAATTGAACCCAGTCAAATGTTTTGTTATTTCGTACACGCTCAAAACCCGGCCAGTTACATTTGATTACCAGATCACTCATGTTTCACTGCAGCGCAAGGTAGAGGCACGTGATCTCGGAGTGATACTGGACAGCAAGCTGACATTCGCGCGTCTCATAGACACTGTTGTGGCGAAGTCCAGACGCATGCTCGGGTTGTTCATTCGGGGTATGCAGCAGCCTCGCAACCTGCGCGGCGGGGCCCTTGACGTCAGAGCATTGCGTACTGCCTACTTTGCGCATGTCCGATCACACCTGGAGTATTGTAGTGTCGTCTGGGCCGGCGCTGCAGTGACCCACATGAAACGACTAGACCGTGTGCAACACAAGTTCCTCATTTGGCTCGCATCTCGTTCGGACCATCCCACAAACTGCCTGGATTACGAACATCTACTGTCTCACTTTCAGGTTCCATCCATCAAATCGAGATTTCATCAACACGACCTCATGTTTTTATTCAAGATTTTCCATGGTCAGATTGACTGCCCGCAACTAGTCACAAGGCTCTCACTCTCAGCACCTAGTAGAAGGGTGCGCAACATCAGGCTGTGGAATATCCCACCAGCACGAGTCAATACTGTCAAAAACTCTATGTTCGGGCGAATTCCAAACAGCTGTAACGCCCTCGTAGCCGCGAACAGTACAGTTGACTTTTTCACGGCAACACTTGGAGCCTTCAGAACTGCTACATATTCATTCGGTCAGGCCGCCGGTGTGTACTAGCATGTTTCCTTTTAGTGTATACTTTTAGCTTGTTTTCTTTTTAGTGTTGCTTATAGTAGATACCTACCTATGTTATGCCGTGCTTTTAACTACAGTGTTGTGAATCGTTTGTGTTTTCACCTCATCTTGTTTATGATTTTATGTACTGTTTTGACTGCACCTGTTAAAAGGGCGTTTGCCTGTGGGTGCTTGTAGTAAATACAGTACAATACAATGTGTTTTCATTTGAGTTTGATGCAACTTTCATCGTTATAATGAAACCTGTGTTTTTATTTTACGTTCATGTACCGTATCATTAAAAACTAGTTAATTACTAAGTGGTCTGGCGACACCCATGAAGTACCACTCTTTCTCTGCAGGTGTGGGATGCCGACCACTTTTCGGCGGACGACTTCCTCGGTCAGATCACGCTGGACCTGAACCGGTTTCCGCGCGGCGCCAAGTCCTCCAAACACTGCACCCTCTCGCTGCTGAAGAACGACGGCTCTGTACCCATGGTGTCCATCTTCAAACAGAAACGCGTCAAGGGCTGGTGGCCGTTCTACGTGAAAAACAACAACGAGGAGATGGCACTCACGGTAAGGATGGCTTTATAGTCGCTGTAAGATGTAGATAACTACATAGATAGAGCTGGTATTGCTATGGCTGCTCAGCTAAGCCGACCAATCTTTCATTGCTGTGCGGTTCATAGCTGTGCGGCAGTTAAACTTTTGAAAACTCAAAAGTAGTGTTATTTGTTAGGAGTTAATCGGTACGATACAAGTATTCTGTAAAGACTGCATGCACTTATCCCTGGTAGAGCATGATGGATGGATCTCTGACTCTGGCTGCGACCGACGGGGCAAGGTGGCGGCACTTATTCACCTGCTGACTGCTGAGCTCACCAGTGGTTATTGACATAACTGTGACCGCTGACCGGCAGGGCAAGGTGGAGGCCGAGATCCACCTGCACTACTGACCGCTGCGACCCTTGTTAATTATTGAACTAAATTGTACCACTGACCGGCAGGGCAAGGTGGAGGCGGAGATCCACCTGCTGACCGCGGAGGAGGCGGAACGGTCACCGGTCGGAATGGGCAGGAACGAGCCAGACCCACTGGACAAACCCAAGTACGGACGGGGTCCGAAGTTTGGGGAATGCTGATGGGGAAAGGGAATTGCGCTTCGTAGGCACTGGTCATTTATTTAACAGCGATTACGCATGATTTGTGCATCTCTAATCGCTTGAAGTAGAGTAGAGCAGAGTAGTGATGTCAAAGTAATGGTAATTTTATGATGAATTTCTTTCATTGGTGTGATTTTTAGCTTGCTTTTAATTTTTTTCATATTTTCAACGTATCTTTATGGCGAAAATGAAGGTTGACCAAAGACAGTAACAGATATCACGGCACGGACAATTTATTCGATTGTAAAATTGAAACGGACCCCCGCACCTCCCCAGCCGTCCGGACTCGTCGTTCATGTGGTTCATGAACCCGATCAAGTCGATACGCTACATCGTCTGGCACAACTACAAGTGGACTATCGTCAAGATCCTGCTGGTGCTGGCGCTAGCCATCCTGCTTCTTCTCTTCTTCTACAGCCTACCCGGCTACTCGGTCAAGAAGCTTCTAGGAGCGTAGTCGGGGATGACGGGAACGGGGAGAAATGTCGGGAGTGTGGAAGAGGTGGCGATACAGTCGACTGAAGGTGGACAGACTTCAGAGGACGCTGAGAATTCTGCGTAGTACGTAGGTACTCCGATAGGCTCCCCAGAGGACAGAGAGTACCCAAGTAGGCACTCCGGTCGGAATATTGATAGGATCCCGCTGAGGAGCTCTGGGAGTAAGAACATTCGCTGAAACTGAGCTCCGCTGCGACATTCGCTGAGAGTTTCGCTGCACCTGTGGTGTGGATCTTGGACAGCGAGGTTAGATGAACGGTGGAGCTTGACAGAAGAGTTTGACCAAATGAATCGAGGAGGAAATAAGCATGAGAGGAACGGATTTCTAAAGATGTTGGTGTTTTTCTAGAACCTCAACTTATTTCTAATCGTGCTTATGACCCAAGGGATCACTGGCTATCAAAGGAAAAGTGAATGTGTAGCGTTAGGAGTTCGTGGTGATATTACCAAGTTTAGGATCTCAAGTTCAGGATATCCAAGTTTCCGCGGCTGTGCTGATGCTAATCTCTGACTCGTCCATACAAACGACTTTTGGTTCACTCTATGTGAGTCTACATTTTACATGTCGATTGATTCTACAATTTATTCGTGTTACTGTCTTTCTTTGTTTAGTGCGTTATTGTCGGATCTCTGGCGACTTTATCGTACGGTATACCTTAGGTGATGTTTGAGTGACATTTTGATGCGCATCATTTGTTCATGTAATCATTATTTATATTCATGAGTCTCATATTTACTGAAGCATTTATTGCTATGTTATTTCCATTCGCAATATGTTATACTTTGATATTGATTTTGATTGAATCGTTCGTGACCTTGTATTTCCCTTAATATTTTGGTTGGCAACCTGGCTTGTGAAGACTCCCTTGAGTTTATCTGCAGATGTGAACTATAACCGTACTACCCACTTCGAACTTCATGACCTGATAACCTAGTGATCTGATCCTCTTCAAGACGCCACACCATAGTCAAAAAAGAGTAGCATCTTTTAGGGTAACGAGTCGCACAACCCACATTTTGAGTGGATACAATACCAAGCCGTGTAACCCTGACATAGAGCGAGCAGTGACATAAACCTGACAGCCAGACATAACATAGATACGAACAGTCTTTCGCTTCTATTTGTGCGCCGCTTGTAGCCGTTAGAGCGTTAGCGGGCGGCTGGCTGGCCAGCCGCCGTAGATCCAACTGCTCACGAGTAGATAGAAGAGTTCACTTTCCCAGTGGGTCGGTCCGTCTCATTACAATAGTGTAGTGGCTTGAGATTATTACCGACAGCCTATATATCTAAAATGCCTTTGTTTGTGTGAATGGTCCACACTTGTACTCTGGTATGAATCTCGTATGGTGTAACTGATATGGTTCGTTTGTGAACTGCGTGACGTGGAGTGGGGTGGGAGAACTCAATACTATCCATATTTCATAGTAGAAAACTGTTCGTATTATTTCGGAAATTCCATTGAGTTCTTGTATATGATTATATCGTATAGTCGGGCTGTATGGGTGTTTTGATATCACTTCTTGTTCATTTGCCGATAGTTCGTTGAGTTTTGTGCGAGGATTGTGAACTTATTAAAGTGACTGTCAATACAATCTGACACCTACTGATACTAGGTGTTTGAGAGTTCGCTCACATGCCATCAGTATTATTCGGACTTAGGAATAGCATGCCATGTTTCAAACGAGTTGTATACCATGGAATGCTATCTCATCACGCATTTTTAATATGCATCGCATAAAAATTAGCGTCTCTTTGTTTCCCTTTCAACATCGAACGTCTGCCTTTATTTCACAACGGCATGGTCAACAATTAACACTGATTGGTAGGAAGAACTAATACGGCGTTCCCAGTAAGGGACGGCCACATGTCGCTGGACAAACACTGTCGGGTCACAGGTGCCTTTGCAACGCCGATGACACGCTGGTTGATAGTTCCCGGTATTTAGCTGACTGGGTCGCGATATGAAACAAATCCTTGAGCCTTGTCAGGACCCTATTCACTTGTACAAAAACAAGAATCAAGCTCGAATGTCGTGGTATTCGGCGACAGACTCTATTGGAAGATATGTTCATGCATCCATTACTGTACAATAATCCCATTGCACGTCATGTCTGAGGTACATACATTGACTTGAAGACGATACATGAGTGTCAGCCTATGGTAATAGTACGCGGAGATAACAGCTTCTCATCGGTAACGGAAGTCCAGCGCTTCTCGCGGGGCATAGAGCGCCTCGTCGCCCATCTCTTCCGCCAATGTGATGAAGTCCGGTGGTGTTTCTCGTATCTGGGGAAACAAGTCGATTATAAATTTGTAAGAACTTCTCCACCCCTTTGGTTGAGACAGGAAGTTTGACTGAATGTTGTCGATAAAGTCAAAGCAGATTGGGAGTTATCATAATCGTTAGTGCTTATTTTAACGATAATGCAGCGACTAAAGCTGATGAAGCTAAGTTATAACTAAGCGTGCTCAGACTGCGGTGTTCGTTCATAGCATGACTGGGCAATTATGCTCGTTATATGTATTTTCATTATTTATATATTATATTATATGCATATATAATTATGTATAGGCCTTACCTGACAGTGTGAGCCGATGTAGCCGGGATGACACACGCAGATGGCTCCCCGGCTGTCCTCCACGCAGAGACCGTGCTGACAGGCCGGCCCGACGGTCTGACAGGTGACAGGTCGGCCCCCGCGGCAACCGTCATCTGATGGTAAATGACGGCATATGACGGCGAGGCAATAGCATGCGAATGGTACTTAGGCGGGATATGGTTGGCTTCAGACCCATGAGTTTCAAGCCCTGTGCATCAAAGTCAGCATCATGATACGGTATACGGCACGGATGCCTATTCAAGATGCAGCCCGTAACCACAGGCCAGTTTCAAACATGATTCTAAAACTCAGGCGACCACGGACCTGCAGACAAGCTATCATAGGCATCCCCGTCTGATCGTCAGGTTTACGATACAGGTCCTAACTAGATCGTCATTCGTCGCTTTACTAGATTTGTCGCCTTACTAGATCGTCATTCGTCGCTTTGTGCTGCGGAGAGGCGATCCTTTCCAATAGAGTAAGTTCAATTCGACTTACCGACTCGAGTCACCCACTGATGCCGGTTAGAGCCGCAGTATCGACACGGGTTCTTCGGATTGGTGTCTCCCGACCGGTAACATTGACCTGAAAAAAGAGAGTCATAACGACAGAGAAACGAAAAGATGCTACGTACGGGATGGCATTTCGTTTTCATGCTACATTTCAAAATGAAAACGAATGTGTAGCCTATTCAAAAGAATATAATTCAAAACATTTCAAAATTCGTAGTTCCCAATCGTTCATTGCCAAGATTGCTATACGCGATGAACGCAGAAGCATTCCCTTCAGTTCGGGAAGTCTTTGTTGACTTTCACTTCATAAATTGAGCTCATGTTCATGCCTCATGGTTTATCGCTTGCCAGTCCACGTGGTAAGTTGACAATTCCAGCGTCAGGATCTTTTCAGGCACCATCTAAACAGCAGTCTAAATGACATAACTCCAACATCCCAGACCAATCCTCACCATTTATGATGCAGGAGTCGATGACGGGAGCACAGGAGACGCTACCGTTCCTCTCTCGACAGATCTGACAGTCGCTGTTGTACGTTTTCAGAACCACAGCATCACTCCAGATGACTCCGTTGTAAGAAACCTGAAACAGCGAAACAGACAGCGAATCAAAAGTAACCCATAAGAGAGGAGAGTTTGACTCCGTGGTCCAGTAGCATGGACGATAGGTTCATTAACTGCGATCAGATGCATACGATTATAAGTTCATCTCAAGCACCAGCCATCACTAACTTCAGCATGATAATGACCGGTCACAATCGATTTGACGTTGCTGATTGTTAGGGATAGGTAGGCACCTATATGCCTAAGACGGATATACAGACACGAGGTAATACGGCTGAACACTATGCCAGCACCTTGGCCAGCACAGTAAATCACTAAAACCTTGCAATCGTGTCAAAATGTGTATGCCTAGTTGCCTACGGGATATCTGTTTCAAGCAACGGCGTGCTCTAATACTGTGCCGCCTGCCCAGGCGTATTGCGGGACAGTATCATTCCAGGCGCTGAATGGTGCTGCCATCTAGCGACAGTGCTGTCTAGCGATCTAGCGATTGCTCAATCGAACTAAGCTTGTGGACGGTTTGTATTGAAACGGCAACTCCCGGCTGCGCCAAGAGGAGAGTTTGGCAGCGTCACAGGGGCGGACTAAGGGGGTGTTCGCTTTGCTGTACAGCACCCACTCCTCAATAAGGACATAAGAAACCAGAGGGCCTCGTGGAACGTGGTGGGATGCAACTGTTGCTCAGAATCATCGTCGGAGAGAAGCTGAAGCTATCCAAACCATTTAAAAACACCACTTATTGTTAGCTACCAACGGCAAGGGCTGGAGCTCAGCCTAATCAATCACGACGTAATTTTCTCGCCGGCTGCTACGACAAACACACCTGAATCGTCCACGGTACTACATCTGCCGTGTGGCGCAGCCTCCTCACACTGGCGACGGGCAGGTGACACTGTACTTCCTCTGCAGACCGGTAGGTAGCAGGTGCGATGTTCCACGCCTGCTCGCCCTGCCTAACTCGGCAGCGGAGACCGACAGACGGCCAAAGGTGGCGGCCTCGGATGGAGATGGCGACACAGGATGCCGAGGCCAGGTCACAGAGGCCCTGCTGACCCACCGAGGTCACTCGGGGCACCCACTCTGCGAACGGGATGTCAGAGTTAGACCGCTGTCCCGGTGTGCCTACATAGTACATTCCAGACACTGGCTATGACAGTACAGCTGCCCAATGTCCATACTCCTTAGTAGCCAGTAGGTAAACTGAAACTTGAAAGGAGAAGAGGAGAAGACATCAAGTCAGATGTGGAAGGAGACATCAAGAACATCCCACCAAGTCACCATGAGAATAATGAGGAATCACCTACCGTTCGGGCGGTGGTCGTTGACGACCTCTTCACCCTGCTGAATACAGTCGCCACCGGCACAGCTCTCCAAGCACTGCAGCCCTCCCTGCTCTGCGGGCGACTGAGACAGTGCTGCCACCTGGCAGCGGTCCTCCAGAAGCGGCGGCAGCAGCTCGGCCCACCGCTCGACAAAACGGCCGGCGTCTGGAAGTCAGGTGAGTTGTCAATTACGAATTTCAGGGGTAGATAAGGATTTGAAAATATCATAGGTGATTCGAACACCCTCCGACGTTTTGCAGTAATAGCTAGTGAAAAAAAAACGTAAAGAGAGAACGAAGCCTCTCAATTATCAATAGGTGCGTCAGGGGATAGGTCAGCACCCTTCCCCCTGTCCATGGGAGGTGCTAACATTCGGTTTCCAGCCCCACACCGACATATTTCCTCGACAAGTCTGAAACTGTGATGCAAGTACTCCCTTCGAGGAACGAGAAAGTTTCCTTTTTCTGAGTTACTCACTTAGGCTGGGGGATCCAGAGCGTCGTAAGCCTCGTCGCAGCTGCGACGTGTCGCAAGTTGTGTAGTAAGTCGTTTTTGAAGGGATCAATCGATGAGTAGCGTTACTTAAGTAGTAAAGTCTATCGCAAATAGCCTGATTTGCGACACAACTTACGAATTTGAAATAGCAGTCGTAAGTTGTGTCGCAAGTTGACGTTGCCTTGAGGAAGAGGTCACAGGTCACAGGTCATTCGGGTCATGGTCACGAAATTTACATGGTAGGTGTAAAATTGTTTAAACTTTAGATCCTGAAAATTTGGTTGCAATCCGTTGACGCTAACGCGAGTTATAGATCTTGAACTGACGGGTCGTCTATGAGGCCTCAATCCGTGCCAGCGAGAGTGTTGAAAATGGTGCGTAATATGTTATATTCACATTTATTGGGGTATTCGGGGATATGAAGTAGCCTAACACCATTCCAGCAACTACTGGCGAATCCAGAAAGGCGGTCTTGGACGTTGCAAGGAGCAGCCTCCAAAATATTCTCCCAATTCCAAAAACGACGTGTCCCAGCTGACCCCGATGACCTCCAATGAGCTCTGTGATGACCCCAAGTTGACCTTTTTGACCTGACCTGTCCCAGATGACCTCCGTGACATCCTTTTGAGTTCTCTGATGACTCCAAGCTGACCTCTGTGACCTGACGTGTCCCAGATGACCCCCATGACCTCCAATAGAGCTATGTGATGACCCCAACATGACCTTTGTGGCCTGACGTGTCTCAGATGACCTCCGTGACCTCCAATTGAGCTCTCTGATGACTCCAAGCTGACCTCTGTGACCTGACGTGTCCCAGATGACCTCCATTTGAGCTCTGTGATGACCCCAACTTGACCTCTGTGACCTGGCGTGTCCCATATGACCTCTGTAACCTCTAAGCGACCTCTACGATGACCCCAAGCTAACCTCTGTGACCTGACGTGTGCCAGATGACCCTCATGACCTCCAATAGAGCTCTGTGATGACCCCAAGTTGACCTCTGTTACCTGACGTGTCCCAGATGACCTCCTTGACCTCCAATTGAGCTCTCTAATGACTCCAAGCTGACCTCTGTGACCTGACGTGTCCCAGATGACCTCCAATTGAGCTCTCTGATGACCTTTAGTTGACCTCTGTGACCTGACGTGTCCCATATGACCTATGTGACCTCTAAGTGACCTCTCTGATGGCACCAAGCTGACCTCTGTGACCTGACGTGTCCCAGATGGCCCCAATGACCTTCAATTGAGCTCTGTGATGACCCCAAGTTGACCTCTGTGACTTGATGTGTCCCAGATGACCTCCGTGACCTCCAATTGAGCTCTGTGATGACCCTAGGTTGACCTCTGTGACCTGACGTGCCCCCAAGTTGCCCTCTGTGACCTGACGTGTCTCAGATTACCTCCGTGGTCTCCAATTGAGCTCTGTGATGACCCCAAGTTGACCTCTGTGACCTGACGTGTCCCAGATGACCTCTGTAACCTCCAATTGTGACCTCCATCTACAAATTTCTTACCTCTCTCTGACCTCAAACTCTCGGAACTCATTTCTTCTAAAGCATCGATTCTAGATGCCCTATAGCCACGAATCTCCTGTGATCGATCCCAAATTTTATGGCAAATCACGTGAGCGTTAGCAACCACAAGTCACCCAGTTAATACAAAGCTTCAGAATCAGAGAACATGCTTGACCTTGCTGTCTCATAAGCTCGCAAACCAGAAAGGCGAATGTTCCTTTATGCGTGATAGAGTTTTCGACCTTACTGACGTTTACTACGGGATCAGCTGATCGTGTAGCCTTTTAAATTCTCGAGTAAAGCGGGTATTTAAGCCTCGTCGCAGCTACGTTCTGTCGTATCCTCCGACAAACCCCTCTTTCCTCAACATCCCTCCTTTTCCGCTACGACACAACTTGCGACGGCATATGTGTCGTAACTTGCGACGTGTCGTAGATGGACTTGCGACGCCCTGGATCCCCCCGGCCTTAGTGTAAAGGTGTTCCATAGCCCAATAATCCAATCACAATACCTGAAGTAATGCCACCAAGTTCCTCACGTACTTACAAACTGTTGCTACTACAACCATCAACCCAATCATTACCTTAAGTGTACTGCAGTAGCTGATGGCCTCACCTAAGCGACAGACGTCTCGAAGTGCCACCATGACTGCTTTGTCGATTTGGGCAGCACACGCAGACTGCCGTCGTGCGTTGGCGATGAAGTGCTCAAAGTTATGCCGTCTTTTCTCGGTCGGAAGAAGCGGCTCGGGTTTGTCCCCAAACACTGCGTTAGATTCATAACCCCCGCCTTGTAGCCCGCTCGACTGGACCTCAGCCTTGGCTCTCTCCAGTTGTGTACCAGTCTGTGTGTCTGGAGTGAAGTATGGTGTGTCATCTGGCAGAATCCCTGGAATTGGATATATGTCCGGCCGAGTTTCGAGTGTTGAGCCAGCGGCTGATCCAGCCATTGTTTTTAATTTTCCGTCTGTCGTGTGTTGTTTCTCCGTTTGCGATGTCTGCTCCGGGGCGCCGGCTGCCGTTTCTGGCACAGATTTCGGCGGCGAATCTGGAGTAGGTTCCGCTGGCGTTTCAGATATCGTTTCTGGCTCCAGCGCGCCACTGAAGAGGTGATCTGTGAGCTCCTCGAAGGGCAGTTCCTCCAGATGGTCCTGGGCAGGAAGACTGCGTTTGTTCCTCCTGTTTGAAATGGAAACAAACATCGAGTGAATGAATATTCAGGCAAGTCACGACGTTACGCATACATATACTTCCAAAATAATGTAGCATGTGTCTCTTCATAATATAGTATACAAATATCAAATAAACAAACAAACTAAGCCACGAAACATCGTAACAGCCGTCTCGGCTCACCTGCGTCCCCGACGGCCCGCGGTGAAATGTTCCGCTGGTGCTCCGGGGCACAATCCTGTCTCTGACTGACCATGTGACCTTACAGAGACCGTGACAGACAGTGCCCGGCGCCGACCGGCTGGGGACTCGTCCTCGCTCCGGTCCTGGTCCACGGGGAAGGCATGGAGTCGCACCACCAGGCCCGAGCCTGATGTTATCTGTTGAAATTGGACACGAGATAACACGGCTGAGGTTTGCCAGCATTGTACAGCTGTACACCAGAGACAGCATGAATATATGCTTGTTTAGTTTGACGTTTGCAGGCGGTGATGAACAAATAAAATCGGGAATGAGTTTTGTTCGCATTTCTTTCTCTTTTTAATTTTTCCTCTCATTCTATCTTTCTCTATGTGATAGGAACTCTGTCTCTCTCTCCTGCCCCCCCCCTCTCTCTCTCTCTCTCCTCTCTCTCTCTCCTCTCTCTCCTCTCTCTCTCTCTCTCTCTCCCATCCTTTATGACCACCATCCATTCTCCATATCCTACTTCTCACAGCGCACCTCTCGTCTCCGCCCGTACCACTCGCGGGAGATTCATTGCTATCAGTATGATAATCGAGTTCGTCTTCAACATATTGAGCCTGCAGGCCGACCATAAATAACCCGCTATATGGTGTATAAGCGAGCCGGGATAAAGGCACGGTCGGCGCAGTTTAGCCGTCAGATAAGGGCCTTCAGCCCAGGAGGGGCAGCGGAAGATTGCCTTATAATTTGAAACGGTTCCCGTGACGTCCTTGCTCTCTTATACCTTTCCAAAATTCCGGGATGGCGTGACAGAAGGGCCCGGTGAGTAAGACGAATGTGGGCCAAGGCTGGGTAATCGTTGAGTCTTAAATGCCGCCTAAATGTGGTACTAAATGTCACTAGTGTGTGAGATCATGAAAAAATGTCACCCGAAATGCATCGGTGTTTTTGAAGGAGTGGGCGGCGTACGGTATGCATGCAATACAGTTTATACAGGGTTTCGGGAGATGCTCAAATGTATGAGCATCGAGAGTACTTATCCATCCATCTTTTCAAAAGATCTCAGCCAGACAATTCACTGAACCATTTCACCCTTCTCATAACAGACGTACGGTTTGAGTAATGGTTGTTCACCGCTGAATGCGCATAGATGCCAGAAAACAATGCATCAACGTTCTCCTGGATAGCGCTCTGGGAAATGATGAAACGTCTTGACATGAAAACAAAACTGTTCCCGTCTCCTTTGATGAAACTGCTTCACAAAGAAGCGTTGTTGACTTTATGAATGGTGTAACATGAAGTGGTATGATAATGAATGCAAAGTTCTATAGAAATGCCAACATAGCATAAATAGTTAAAAACAAAACGCGACTAATGAGAGAAGGAGAACGTTGCAAACAATAGTAACACAATATTCCTTACAATATTTAGGCGGAATCAGGTAAAAGTGTGCAGAAACACCCATAAACACAAAGGTCACCTTATTTACAATCAATGCAAATGCCGTAGCTGTGTTCTCGTTGCTCGGATTTACACTTTACTGTGAATGCGAGGTAACTGTAAGCATCGCTTTATTTCACAGGCGCTCACACTAAACTGAATAGATTGCTGTTCTACATTCCCACCTTAAATCACTAAAATAAACGAAACCAGCTGCTTCAAATTTGGCAGCTACGCCTCAGCAATATTGTATGTATGAGTGCCACAAAAGCTACGTTCGCAGTACCGCATCGTACCAGAAAACCGGTACCGTAAATACCTGTCATACCTATACGCAGTACCGCAACAGTACACATAGACGGAACCTACCAGCCAGGCTGAGTCGGGCCTCGTTTCCAGCACGTGCAGCTGCAGCCCGCGGCCGGCCGGCGCGGAGCGGCGCAGCGTGGGCTCTCTCCTGTCCACCGGGTCGGGGCACACGTCCACCTCTATCCACTCCGAGCCGGCGTCCACGGTCACTGCGCAGGCGCAGAAGGAGTGTCCGACCCGGCCGCCGCATCGTGTGGCAACAGTGCTGACCGTCACCTGCTAAAACAATGTCCACGGGATGGAATATGACCGCAGGAATTCCAAGGTTCCATCAGCATGATATCGTCATTCTGTCAAAGAACACTGACGTGCCGCGTCAGATAACGCCACGGTACACCAAATGACAGCGCGTGACGCCGGTCATATTACATAATCACGAGCCGTCATGCTTTGAGATGCAAGTGTGAGGTTTCATCATATTCTGAAACACGCGGATTCATTCAGCTGCCCAGCTACATTAAATTAAATGGTTTATTTACATATACTAGCTATTTACAAGATATATGTAGATATTCGAAGCTATCACAATGCTCTACCCCATCCCTCACCTATTCATCCTAGCATCCGATACCCATACCCGCCACTCGAGTTACATACCGTTCTCCCCGCCGTCGGCTCGGCCGGCCAAAAGAACGTGTTGCCCGGCGCGTCTCAGGGTCCGCAGTCGTGCGTCGAAGCCGACGACGTGTCTCCCGTCGATTAGCTGACAGATGAGCGGGGGCCGACGGCCTCACCTGAGGATCGGTAATGAAGCTGGTTAGGTCCGAGACCGGTCGGAGATGGGCGATGTCTCACGTCTCGATTTCTTTGTTCATCATAATCAGCAGCGGGCAGCAGATCCGGCTCGGTCTTTGAAGATGAATGGTCGAGAAATCGAACCTGAGGATCGCTTTTTACCTGCTAGCTGTATTATAAGTAGGAGACAAACGGATGCCTTGGAACTGGATTTCTTTGAACAAGTCTAGCAACATGAACTCACGAGCACGACTGCCAGTGGCCATTGTATACCACGTCAAGGAACACTAAAAATACTCAAGCTGTGCATTTTATTTGGTATGCAATAAACCAAAACTTAAATAAGAAAGTAAAGTAAACGAAAGAACAAAAGCGTACAAAGGTGATAATCGAAAACACGTCTTCATCGCGTTGGTTCATCATCATTTTCATTGTCACCGTCGTAAAAATCAGCCATATCCGCGATTCGTTTCACTTTAATAGTGTGAACACTGTCACATCTCTCCGCCACCATGAGATTGGATTACCTCCAGCTTTCGAGCCACGCTGAGTGGAATCTCACAAAAGCCCAGGAGCCACCAATATTGCACCCGGTATGGTTTATTGGTCGCACCAGCGGCATTGCTGGCCTGTCGTGCGGGCGCTTTGTCACAATGTCTCGGCGGCGGCAGAACATCGTTTGTAACTCGGCACCGCCCAGCGCCGGGAAAGGCCCTCAGTGTGACGGCCAGTGTTCCCAGAAACCTCTGTCACCTCGTCTGACGGACAGACGCCATATTGTCGCTGATTGGGTACCCGATCCGGGCCGGATCTGCTGGCGGTCAGCGCTGAGAGAGGGCCGAGACGGCCGGCCGTGCTCCTCAAACCCGATCTCCGCCAAAGGGTCAGCGGACAGTGTTCGGCTCCAATCGTCCGCTGATGAGATTTTGATCGAAACGTCCGCGGCCGCGGCCGGAAATTAAACTGTGACTTTGTTCCGCACGTGCTGAAGGGAGCAGAGTGGGGCCAGGGATGGTTTCATTAATTATTTGCTATCCGCGGTCTTCGAACAAGGCGGAAATGTGAAAGACATATGGCTCTTCCTCAGACATTGAAACTGTCATCGAGGATTATAAAATTCCGTATTTTTGTGACAAGGTTATTGCAAAGACGATAAAGAACTTTGTCTGGGATAGGAAGGTATAGAATAAATGCTGTGCATACGGAAAATAGACAGCATGAAGTCTATCAGTGCCAGCGCAATGATAAATTAAATGATAAGTCGTAATAAGCATGGGGGTGCAACCATTCTGGTATAACACCAACCCACCACATACCCAACCGTGCCTGTGTAGCCTGGGCAATAACATACCGGGTGCCAATATACAGCACACACTCGTAACGGGCTGCATCTCGGTAATGGTGCCGGGGAAGTAATGAACAGACCAGGCATAGCACATCCATCTTGTGGACCACAAGGCGTGGCGTGGTTCTGCGATAACAAATCCTGGTGCTCCTATGGTAATATTAGCGTTTTACATATTTTTGTTTTTTGACTGTTTGTGTAGACTGACAAATATGTATAATAGAAGGTATATAAATTTTGTATAGGTATAAGACGTATGTGACAGTCAAAATCCACTCGGTCTATATGAGAGCAATAGCCGACCACCGACTGTCACTGTTCCAGTATGGGGGAGACATCGCCCGCTACCGGTGAATCCAGGGATTGTCCGTAAAGACGGGGTGCTGATCCGCGGGATTTGCCTGTAGATGGTAACCGTGATAAACTCTCAGCGCCTGACGCCCACAGGAGGTTCATTTATCCATATTGTGCCAGTCAATGGTCCTACAAAGTGGTCCGGGTGAAGTTTACAGCGGCGTACTATTTGATGGTCTGAATTATTACTGCGACGTACTGACGAATGATTTATTGTGTGCTAACTGTACCAACAATGTTAAACGTACCCCAGTGACTCAAATATCACCCTTACCGTAAGTGCGATAACCGGCGGTTGGTACTCGGCCCACTCCGGCCCCAGATCTGCCCGGTTCTCCAGTATCACCCGCAGCTCAGCAGTGATCGGTCGCGGTGGACCGTCGTGAGGCTGTCGAGAGAGAGAGAGCGGCCTGTGAGGTCATTGGGTAGACGAACCCCCAAACGTACCCGACGGACGGATAGACCCGCTTCTCTGCTAGAGCTTGGACGGAACTCTTTTAACAAGAAGATTTGCCCTGTTTAGGACAGGTGGAAGTTGGAACTCTGTCTTGGGCAAATAGACCATTTCTCGGACAAATCGACCCCATATCGGTAAGATGGACAGTTACAGGTGCAGCACTAGGATACCTACATACTGGTGGCCATGGTTCGTGACGGTGGTCAATAAATTATGTCGAAATGGCGAGCACTAAATACAGCAACTCTAAGCTGAATGACTTTCATAGCTCAATCGTGTTTGTTCGGCGTGAATAATCACCCTACCGGTGGTTCAAATTTCCACACAGGGAATTCATTAATGCACGATTGTTAACCATTTATTCAAATTCGATGCGCCAGCTGCTCTAAACGACGGCACGGGTGGTCAGGGTAACAGGCGAAGCCGATGACAGGTCACCCGTGTTACATCGTGTCAGACGCCTGCCAACCAGCCTGACATGTCATACGCCTGTCAGCTTGTCTGTCACATCAAACGCCAGTCAAGTTGCCTGTCATGTCGTCTCTCGTCAGTCATTAGTCACCGCCACACGACTGTCAACTCTCATCATTTGAACGACGTGCAGTGACATCTCTAACTCGAACTCATTAGTGCGTCCCATTTACAACCGCTATATAACTTACCGCTCTGCTGATTGTTGCCGTGACGATCTCAGGCCAGCAAATGCCTCCCGGACAGTTGAAAGATACCACACACTTGTCAAGGAGTAATAACTGGGTTCCGGCTGTCCCTGTGAATGAGAAATGGAAATGGTTATATCTTACTGCACATATTGCACCATTGCTCTAGCTTCAGACGCAGAAGCCAAAAGAATAGCCCTTCCCGGTATCTCTAATCCCTAAACCGAAGGACTTGGAAAGGTACTTACGATGGTTTGTGATTCTGTTGCCACGGTATTTACTCAATGTGACCCTTACACCGAGATGAACCTTCAAGCTCCATATGGAAAGCACACGCATGTACTTGAAAAGGGTGAGCACAAAAGTGTGTCGCACTTGAAAATTAGATGGACTATATTTGCACCAGCAGTACACATAAAAATATGCTCATTATCCAGTCTTTAGCCGCCGATATTACCTTTTGAATTACGGCAGATGACTTGGACGAGATTCCGCTACAGATATCTTTCACTGATCATCTCGGATATCAAATAGCAGCTATGAATGAGCGCGATCATCGTGAATGCGCCATTGCCCTCACGTCCCCACACTAATGACCCATTTTCTGTTCCAGACATCGAGGAGGCTCGCCCTGATTGCCAATCTCAGCAGAGTGCCGGCACTGAAAGACGCTGTCATAGTTCTCACTTCTCATCCCGTCAATGGCCATCGTTTGTTCCTCACGAGCTCCAGCGTTTTTATTGCTGATTATCTTTGAAGACTTTTTAAAGTATTCAGCATAGTCCTGCTTTCTCTTAAGAAAACAGAGTGCCTGTATGCCTACAATAGATGTAACAATGGTTTGTGTTGGCTTTCAATTCAGCACGGGCTAAAACCGACAGTTTATCTTACATCCAGTCCGTGACCTCACCTTGCTGTAGCGGCTGCAGTCTCAGCAGCAGCCGACAGTTCTGCCTCGGTCGACAGGTCACGGGCGCCGAGACGGACAGGGTGAGGTCGGTCCGGCCGTCCCGCGTCTGCCGACTGCTCCAGGTCACCCCCAGGCGGGTGGGGGGAGAGCGCAGGGGACGGGGAGGGGGATGTCCGACGGCCAGCGCCGGACGGACCTCGCAAATCACCTGCGAAACAGGCAAAACATGTTACCTGGAGGGAAAAGGTGGCTTTGCATCGCTTCGTGAACGATCCACTTTTAAAAGTTTGATAACAATAAAGGCGATTTTTGAGTAGTATTACTGGAAGCAGAAAAGAAAATTCTGCCGATAAATATCGGCTAGCCAGATATTTGCCAATGATACCCAACACACAGAAAAATATTGACACCGTTAGCGGTGTAATTGCACAGTACGTATCTGAGCACTTGAGGAAAGTTAATTTAGTCCCTTCCCCGCTTAAATTACTCGCGCTTCTAAATGAACACCAGGAAAAAGGTAATAGAACACTGTTAGGAGGGTTGGGTGTTTTGCTACATGTAGTAAAACACCCAACCCTCCTAACAGTGTTCTATTACCTTCTTCCTGGTGTTCATTTAGAAGCGCGAGTAATTTAAGCTGGGAAGGGACTAAATTAACTTTCCTCAAGTGCTCAGATATGTACTGTGCAATTACACCGCTAACGGTGTCAATATTTTTCTGTGTGAAGCATCATTCGATGTCAAGCATCATTGTCATTGTTCGCCGTGTAAGCGATGATAACTCATGTGACTCAAGTTCAGCCTGCAACTCATGGGGACTGGTATGGCCGTTTCACCCTCCGACAGAAGCCGCGTCAGCTCAGCGGCGGCTTTAGCGGATGGTCCATTTCCGTTTCCGGTCCGGGGAGCCGCCGTCGCACCTGCGCGGCCTCCAGAGACACTGCGCACTCCGATCCTGCGAGCTGGATCATTTATTTTCCCTCAAATCTCTCCGTGCAGCTGCGCGGCCAATCACACCGCGGAAACTTGAAGCTGAGCTGTGCGGCCATCCATAAATACTGGATCGGAGCTCTGTTCGCGACATGTGCTGCCAGCTCTCTGAAGTTTACCGAGTGTTCGACAAAGTTCGCGCTAGGCGGGAATCTTTCAACAAATTTACATCTCGAAGCGACTATTTTGCGACGAAAACAGGAGGCTGTTGAAGAACTTAGAGAGTATTTGCCATCGTTCAACAGGAGTGTAAATATTCAGTTTCATTTATCATGCTCTTCATTACACTTTATTCAAAACTGCATGCTATGCTCTCTCTTATAAGACAACACTTTTATGGGATTTATAGAGAATTCGAAGAAAAAACGTTGTCCATCGTTCTTAACCTTCGATTGGGCGTGTATTGCACTAAGGCAAGCTTTGTAATCAAATGGATAAGGCATGGAATTCTCTACCATGGAGGCATGCCCAGCCATAGTTTTCTTCTTAAAATAACAAGCAAGATCTTTCATATGATAAAACACATCAATCGTGCTACTATCGTGCAAATATCGTGCCTGGTTTCAAATCTTCAAGGCGCCATCACGCCAATAATTCTACATTACCACCAGACAAAGTCGAAACCTTTTGACAAAATGTTTCTGGAACACATTGCAGTGAATCCTTTTAGGAGTACTCGGGCGCATTGTTATTGACTTCAATCACGAGCTACGACGCTGACTGATGTTGAAAATCGCAGAGACAGAGAGCGTGCATCTGCTCTGATGGAGCGAGCAAAGGCGGACGATCAGACGGAATGGTATGCGGAATCATCGAAAAATTTGAACGAAACTAAATAAATGTTTCGAACTAAATAAATTACAGATTGCTGATGCCGTTCAATTCACTACGAATGAAATTTTTCAAAAAAGACAGCCACAGAAAGAAATGGGTGAGAGAGAGAGAGAGAGAGAGAGAGGAGAGAGAGAGAAAGAGAGAGAGCGAGAGCGAGAGCGAGAGCGAGAGCGAGAGCGAGAGAGAGAGAAAGAGAGAGAGAGAGAGAGAGTGAGAGAGAAGAGAGAGAGAGAGAGAGAGAGAGAGAGAGAGAGAGAGAGAGAGAGAGAGAGAGAGAGAGAGAGAGAGAGAGAGAGAGAGAGAGAGAGAGAGAGAGAGAGAGAGAGAGAGAGAGAGAGAGAGAGAGAGAGAGAGAGAGAGAGAGAGAAATAGAGACAGAATAACAAAAAAAAATCCTTAATTCACGTATCAAGCTCCGAACAGGTGAGAGTGCGGACGTTAGCTCTTACCTGATCTCCAACGCGGAAGTGTTGACCGAGAGGTACCCGATGGAAATTCTCTCTAGTGACGGCTGTTAGGATGTGCCGAGTCGAGTTGGCATCAAGGCGCACCCAGCTAAAGCTGTAGAAAAGACAGGCAAATGATAATATCATCTGTGGGTTCTAAAAAGCGATTGCGATGGCAGATACGTGTCTGAGAACTTTTCGGTGTTTCTGGAGAATTTTCAGATATTCACTGTGCTTAGATGCTGTGCCGCATGACTTCGGCGCACTGCGGGATAGCCGCAGGCTATGCCACTGAGGATAGCCTCAGTGGCACGGCTCTTTGAATAGTAAAAGGAACGACACGTTGTCGTTACTTTGCTGTGATACGAGGATCACACACCTGGTTGATATGTCTAGTGTCGGCCCTTGTGCGGTATGTGGGCGGTAGCAAATACAAGCACCAGTGCAGATAGGTAGGTACTAGGTGCGTTACTTTTTACAAATGTCATTGTGCGGTGTGATGAAGGCGGAGCCAGTGTTAAATCATAAGACTTGATTAGAACTAAAACTACTCCGTTTCCGTCTTTTCGTCTGGCTAGCCATTTTCACCAAATGATGAGCCTTTTTAGCCCTCACATCTTCACCGCAAATTACACTGAAGATTCACCATGACCATTATCAACGACAATCAAATGAATCAGCCAGAAAACATCGCCGGAACGGCTCACCGGCTGCTATTTCAGGAGGGCTATGATCCCTTCATCAGAGAAGGAGCAGTGCAGACCCATCTGGTCGCTATCCCCGGCAGTTCTATATCATCCCTACAGCCGCCGCCGTCGTCTGCGACGCCAGTTGTTTGCAGTGGGTCGTGGGCAGCGGCGAAGTATCATGGTTGAGTATCGTGGGGGACAGCAGAGGACCATAGACTACGGCTGAGGGCTGTGAGTCGTGATTGAGTGCCGTGTGGTTAAGGACAGTGTGGCCAAAACTGAGGACTGTGATTCTTGACTGACGAGTCGCGTGTGTGGGTCACGATTAAGGGCAGTGGGTCTGCTCGGCCCGTTCCGTCATCGCCATCGGTCCTATCCGCCAACGGTGGCACTGCCAGTCTACAGCGTCTAATGGACCCATTCTCTCTGAAGGGTGCACTCCGCTGCACACAAGCGGAGTCCTTTGAGGCAGTGCGGGCGTCCTGGCACTCGACGGGCGTACCGGACACTCAAGGGCGCCCGTCGCCCGGGCGGCGGCGCCCGGGCCAGCCCGGTGGAACGCACCTGGACCAGTGACAGAACGAATCCGCCAGACTATTAGCGATGTCCCGTGAGTGTCGACGCCTCTCAAACGGCGAGTGGGTCGCTACCGGGCGAGCTAAAATCGTCAGAGCGTAGGTGTCGTCCCAGAAACAGACCCATGATGACGTTGTGGGGGAGAGACCTGTGGAACAGGATCCCTAGATCCGCTTCAGAGGTAAATCTGGTCACCGTAAAACATATGTACAGAACAAAAACCAGCATTCACCGGCAGAGTATTTTGAGCTACAGACGCGAGAGCGGCGCGACGCAAAAGTGAGTGTACGGAAGCTGAGGTGGCCCTGAAGACTTCATCTTTTTCTTTGCAAGGAAGTATTTATGATTAATTGCATCAACATGCCTACAGCTGATAAAATATCGTTAGTTATTCTTCATGTCTTCCCATGGCCACCTTGTCTTTCTTTTTGCCACAGTTCGTAATGTTACGAGTAGAAACTTCGTCGGCCTCTTCTGCATTTCCTCCCCTCTCTCGCAGCCTCTCTCTCTCTCCCACACACCGCGGACCGACAGGACGCATAGCGGACAAAGACTGATCGGTCGCCGCCGTCACTTTGACAAATGGGCGCCGACAGTGACCGCACTGGCCAATAGGACTATTCCATTACCCAGCATAGGGCGCCGGTCGCCCGGAATGTCGAGCCAATCCTTTTCTCCTGGACCGCAGAGGCAACGACGAGGGAATATGAGACGAAAGGGGTGATGGAAGGAGCCCGTGCTGCTGCATGGTTGAACTGAACTCAAGTGAATGGGGAAAGAAAACTGAGTACGTCGTGCAGTGATATTCAATCCAGCCCTGTTGCCAGTCTGTCAGTACAGCGCGGCCAACAGCTCATAGACATGGGGCCGAGGATGAGCGGAAAGTGGATTCACTTCGCTTTTCTCTGATTGACAATCTTGAATAATGAATATGTAAGTAGCTAGCAAAGCAATACACCTTAAGTTTGCAGTGCTAAGTGTGAAAGCGTTAAATAGTTCACGACTATGGTGAATCATTAAGCACTTACAGGGATTAAAAAGAACTTGGTATCGCTCAATAAACTAACTCGTATCCTCTAAGAATTCCCCTGACAAATAAATTCACTTCTTTGGTGGGTGGGCTTTCGGCGATTGGCCGAGCCGATCAATAATTTCCGTTCGGAGATACGGCGCAGGTGGCTAGGGCGACCGCCGAAAACAGGTCAGATAACTTCCCTATCTCGGCGCCGGCGACTGACGTGGCCAACTTCGAGCGACAAGTAGAACTTGTATGGTTAACTTTGATCTCCGCCGACCAGAAACGGATGACTGGGCGACGCGGTACCTAAATTTAAATACACGCAGGGAAGCATTACGCCTGTCTGAGAATTATTGATATAGAGTTATGATATTCTTAAATCAGCGGTATACAGATATGAAATTATATCTTAATAATATATTCTTAAGCTTTCCTCCTATTAATTATTTCGAATCAGGCTGGCAATAGAAAGCAGCTGCTCATGTCATCTCAGGCAATTTGCCGCTAACCTTTAACAGCGATTTTCCAGATGCTACGATAATTGAATTTTCAATACAGCCTCACCGAACATCGTCTGAGACAAAATTGGTGTAATAAAGTTATATCAAGGGAACACAAGGCCAGCAAGTCAGTTGTAAGTAATATGTCAGTTCCGACTTCCGAGAGGTGCACTACGTTACTACTCTTCGATGTGAGAAATGGTTATGATGGCTTCATTTTACACCCATACAAAGAAACATACCTGAGTAGGTCTCCGCCTTCGTAAGACGTGAGGCGGCAGAGCAGGTAGTTATTTCCTCGCCACTTTCTGGCTGCACCGAGAGTTCCTGTGATGTAGTCGACCCAGCCGCACTCAGCACTGAAACCAATGAAATGTTATAATAATAAGCCGGGCGCACATACCGGTGAACATTTTAAATGGCCCTGGTGGCGCAGTTGGTTAAGGCGTCGACCCGCGGTGCGGGCGGTGCCGGGTTCGGGTTCGATTCCCGGTTCCGCCCGTTCCGCGGGCGTCGTCCCCGGCCGTGTCACCAGGTGTGGGGTAGGCTCCCACTTCAGCCGTAGCCTGGGGGTGGGAACAAGGGCCAGGAGAGGAGGAGCCCTCCTGTAAATGGTACACAAGTGCCCTTGGAGGGAGGCCTGAATAAAAAAAAACCGGTTACATACGAACTTTGCATCTTGTCGCCTCTGCCACAAAGTATTGCATTTAAAAGCGAACCATGTGAATAATTGTGTTTTGAATGTTGATGACTGGTTTACCATTACACACTTTCTTATCAACAATAACCCACACGAATTTTTTTAGTCAATAAATACCGCACCTAATTTTATCATCTGCCACAAGAAGAAAAGAGCGCAGATTTGCTAACACGTCACACGTCATCCCAATCAGTTTCAGCGAATACCTGACCTTATTCTCAGCATAGCAAGCCGCCTGACACCAGACAAAATCTGATCTAC